CCCCAAAACCCCAAAACCCCTTAATGAGAAATCACAACTATTAAGACAATTAGGATAAATAATTTCAAAATACTTATAAGATTATTAGAGATATTGCTTGGAAAAGGTTATAATTTTATAATGGCTCCTAAGTTTATTGAAAACTTAAATGATTACTTCCTTATCAAGGGAAACATCTGGCTTATCACAATCACTACTATTGAGATCTTGTTTTACATTGCATACACAGTTGTGTATTCAATTGACAAAACTGACTAGGGTATTGAGCAGGCTTAAGTTTACAGATGGACACTGACAGCTGTTCTTTTACTTTCAATCATTTATTTCCTTTGGCATTCTGTAAGCAATAAAGTCTAAACTCTAAATCTGATTGATTTTTAGATTTTAAACAAGACATTAATGGAACTGATATCATTCATAATCATGCTGATACTCACTAATGTCTTCTTCTTGCAAAGAGAAATCATCCTAATTGTGTACTTGTTAAATAATAATACAGTCTCAGACATGGAGACCTTGCAAGTAAGTGTTTATTGGAAAAATAATGCATGAATTTTTCTTACCAAGCTAAATCTGATCCATTTATTAATAGTTGATTGTATTCATAATGTCATGCATTGGAGTGGGCGGCTCAATTATAGCCTTAACTTTGATTCTATTGATAGTCAGGCCTGTTTATTTAAGTATGTATGAAGATGTGTTCCTTAAAATTGGAGCTAATGGCAATATCTGGGGTAAGTCTGATTTGTATAATGACTGATTATAACTAATATTATAATGACTCAAACTTATCCAACTTACATTTTATAGAGGTATACAAGTACTTTACTCTGACTAAGAGCTTTTTAAAGTTAGATTTATTAATATCTGTGGAATTCATGATTACTATATACTTTCTGACTTATAACACCAGAGATTCCTTATACTACATTGCAGTAGATATTTTCTTTTCTGTTGCTATCTTTGCCAACAACATCCACGGTCATCTTTTGGTAAGTATCTAATCATTAACTCTGCCTTATGTTATTCAATATGTACCTAACAAACAATGAATATAGATTAACAGAAAGCTTTACAAGCAATTTATTGCTTTCGTGGTGATTCGATGTGCAATTGAGAGCTATAAGATGTACAGAACAATCACCAGTGCACTTGGCTATACTCTGGCTTTGCATGATATACCAAATGACTTCAGCGAGGAGGACAAAGCTACATATCAGTATTCTAGCATTGCCTTCGAAGTAATGGGGTTGATCTCTGTGGTATTCCTAGTGGTATTCATGAAGAAGACTATATGGACTTTCAACAGAAATGAATTCGACCTTATCAGAAATAATTTCACCAAGGATTTCTACAGACTGCAAAGAGAAGACACTCTCTTGAGCTGAATCTTTGGTTATGCTAATTGGTATATCATATCACAACTCCAATCAAATAATATTTTACATTTAATTTGCAACTGAGTTAAAATAAATCATTGTCCTGGGGTTTTGGGGTTTTGGGGAGATCGGAAGAGCACAGT